CTGCTTCCTTTCTCGCCACGCGACCAATCTCCGCACAAGGCACTCCCCATGCTTTGAATGGGCCCTTTTATCAATCGGCTTTCCATAGCCTCCCAACCAGTCTTGTAGGCCTTACCGAAAAAAATAAAGGAATGCGTTACTCGTTCCCTGAAAATAAAAGGAACCCGTTCCTTAAAACAGGGAGTTTTAAGGAACCGTTTTTGCACATTCGATGCGGTACGGTGGGCCCTCCGAACTGCGCATGCGCTACCACATGAGACACGCGCATGCGCAGTTCGTACCGGAGGGCCCATCGTATACTGTATCGGATGCGGAAAAACGGTTCCCTAAAACTCTCTAATATGAAGAACGGGAGACCGTTATCGATACAAAGTTAACGCACGTTACTTTTGCGCTACTTTTTTTTAAATTACGAATTAACACAGTGTTTCGAGGTTTAGGTATGCATAAGCGCCATATTTCCCGAAACGTTAGAGAATTTGAGCAAACCGTTAACGTGTTCCGCGTACCGCACTACCGGAGCCTTTTGAAGCATGCTTTTAAGCGCGCGCCCGGGTGATACCGCGCGCTTAAAAGCATGCTTCAAAGGCCACGGTACTTGTGTACGGGGAACACGGTAACGGTTTAATAAAAGTTCCTATTATGTCCATGAAAAAACTGAACATAAGTGCTTTTTTTTTACGGTTTTCTTCCTCAAGTTTAATTATCTCTACCAACCCGCTCGTTCTGTGCTTTCACTGAAATACTCACGAGAAAAAAATAAGAAAAAAGCAAAGAAAACTGCAAGAAACTCACAAATTCACATCACGATGCCTAAAAGCACAAAAAAGATTCAAGTGTAATGTTTTGAGTCTTGGGAAGAAGTAAGGTAACTGCGTTACCCGTTACTTGAAATAGATAACACATCTATCTACATCATCCGTAACTGTTTAAAAAAAATGGCTGGGATCGGTGGCACGGTGGGCGAGCGCATACCGTGCAGCTCGGAGCACTTGGAGGGAAAGCTCGCGCTGCAGAACCCAGGATCCTCGGCTCAACCCCCACCCCTGCCCAATCTGGATGAGCATCTTACCGGCGTGCGGTCGTGTATCACTACAGCGTAATGCACGTTAAAGATTCCATGTTAGCGGTTGTACTGCATTGGCTAAATTCCTCACCTACAGCTGAGACACCAGACGCCCACTGAGGCAGACTGGCTTCCGGCTCTATAAATATACTCGCAAGCACAATAAAAAAGTGCGTTAAACGCTACAGAAAAAAAGTGATTCGTTACTGGTAACGCCGTCACTTGCAACGCGTTACCGCAAACACTGCCTCCAACGTAGGCAGCGCCGTTTCGCGGCGCACACGGGCGTTAGAAGAGGAGGAATTGACGACGGTCCCAGGGAGTACTTCCGACAGGCATAGAGTACACAGAAGACATTGAACATACACGCCCTCTCAAATTTGAGATGGTGCGTGTTCGTTTGCCTTTTCGTCTTATTATTATCTCCGGTCTCGGCGATTTTTGTTTTTGTTTTTTTGTTATGGAGTTAATACACCAGCTTGCCTGCATATTTTCACTATTTTCACTTCGGCGTCCTTCCCGTTCTTCCTCTCTCCTGTCTGGTCCGGGTTTTCTCACGGTATCGGTCTGTAGCTCGGTCGGATAGCTGTACAATATAATGTAGTATATGGCTGTATGCTACATATCAAACAATGCACTGTACCGGGGTGCCTTCATGTGCGTTTTACTCAGGGTGATAACTAGGGTGCCTCGATGTCCTTCTGTTTAGGGTGATGCCACCCTTTCTAGTACCCGATGCACGCGCTCACGGGGAAAATACAAAGAAATTGACGAAAACACAATGTCGCCATAACACAGTCAGCGCCACTAACGCGTGCAGGGACACGCTCTTTCACGCGCTTCTGAACAAACAAGAAAAATAAAAGCGTGGGACAAAATGGCGAGATGTACTAGAACACTTCGGTAGCGTTGGGACCGGAGCGGCTCATTGACAGTTCGTGGCGGCGCTGTAGTCGAGTTATCCGGAAAAAACCGCGCAGCCCGCCTTTTTTTTTTTTTTTTTTCACTTTGAGAGGTGCACGTGTCGGTATTGCGATTTTCTACACTCCGTTTCACCTTATGTTGTACCGCAGCGAAGGCTAGAAGCGCCAACTCATAGCGCTGGCAGCTGCCCTTGGTGCACGAGAGCTTGTGCCGCCGAAATGTGCCCTATAGAGCAAGGAGCTCGCGAATGTAGCCTTTCCTGCGGTAAGACACTTTACACAGGCGCCAGAATACAGCCGCCATTGCTGACCTTCTTTTGTTTTACCGAGATACCGAGCCACTGAAATCGGTGAGGACGAGCTTCCACAAAAGCCAGTGCTGGAGAGAAAGACAGAATGAAATCTAAGATGGCAATAACCTGGCCTAGCTGCTATGGTAATAATGAAGTGAAGTAAACGTAATAAGCGGAAACAAAAACTGAAGGTCAGTTATGGCGGTTTCCATGCACAGCTGCTACAAAGCGCCTTATGAAAATATCGGTAATTTTAATTTTTTTTAAATATTTGCGGTAGGCAAAGGGTTAATAAACAAGTTAACTAACATATTTTGGTTAATTAATAAATATTGCAACGGTTATTCGCCCATTTATTGTCCACCGAGCCCTACAGATATAACGAAAGACGACATCCACATATCTGCCACATCCTTTTTTTGTAAAATATGTAAAGTTCTGTAAAGAATAAAACAAAAACACCCTGTATGTCTGCGTGAACCAGATACGTCCCCTGTGGAACCATGGGTCTTTCCCTTCGAATACCCAGCTCAGGCGAGACTTACCTGGTTGTCAGAAAGCAGCTCTCGGTTAAATGTATTGTTATGAGCGTGTGGGTTTCAGATGGTTTACCCTCACGAGGAAAATGCGCTGCATATTGTAACCATGTATGCGCTGCACATTGTAACCATTATTTCAATGTCGTGCTGTAAACTATTACAACTTTTTCCTTGCCTGATCTACGTGTGCTCATGTTTTCTGCTCAAAATGATGTAAAATAGTTGCTTGTTTTCTTTGAATATTATAAAGCATTACCTTTCAGCCCACGTTGTCTCAGTTTTTGAACTTAAGTTCCTTAAATGTAAACATTTCGGCGGAACTCCGAAACTTAAGTTCCCTATTAAAACGCGTGATTAAAATTGTCACGGCTTATAAGCCATTTCTTACAAGTAAACGTAGGGTGGTCCGCGGATGGTCCCGGCAGCCATGAAGAAATAAAAGATTCTCACCCCTTTCCGACCGTCGCTTGGGTGGTTCGTCGCATAAATGAACACAAGAATGATTGACGAGTGAAGCGAGCTAAAGAAGGTCAAAAAAAAAAAAAAAAGAAGACGGGCAGAAAAGAAGACAGAGAAGTTAACCTGGGTTATTAAAAGATACTAAAACAATCTCAGACTTCAGTATATGCCGTTTCGTTTCATTATAAAATAAGGTAGAGAAAGAAAAAAAAAGAAAAAGAAAACTGCTTCTGAGTTTTAGATATCCCTTTCAAATATCTAATGTTCGGCCTTTGCGACCGAGGAAATGGGCACTTCATTTAAAATACTCACCATCCGACAAACCGTAATTCGCGGCTAATTCTACGCTGAAACAACTTGCAATCCGCTTCTTTAAAGTCGCAATTGTTTTTATGTAAAGGTAGGGTAATGTAGCTTGTACCGTCCAATACATTGAAGCATCATGTTGCTAACGATCGTGCCGCAGCGTAATTGATGCCACGGTACGACCACTGGCAGGTCGTAGCTGTATCAGAAATCCTATGTGAACTCCACCAAAGCGGCACCAAAGATTCATATTTTCGCGCGTGCAGCCGCGCATGCGCACACCTTCTGGATAACGCGCCGGTGTCGACACCTGCCGTGATCAATACCACGCGCTTCAGGCGAGCCTCTGTTCTACCCAAGTATTCTAGTACACTTTACCCTAAGGAAAGTAAAGCCCCTCTATCCTGGGAACAGTGGCGCCATTCATTGTTGTGGAAATGCTCGAGACACGTGCCGCGCGCCAGTTCTGGGAAAAACATGGCGTCCGAAATCCAGGTCAGTGCTCAGCTATGCCACCATGATCTTGCCAAGGGTTGCAGGTTGCACGTGCCTCGTGCATCGACGCATCTTGCTCTACTCTTGAAACATGAATGGGCTTTAGAGCAAAGCGCACATGAAGGCACCCTAGTGATAACATTCTTCGTAGTACCAGACGCCGACTCCGCGCGCTTTTGAAAAAAAAAAAAAAAAATTGCCGGTAGCAAAATGCTTTAGTATCACTGTCGATGCCGAGCCCGTGCCGCGAGACGCCCTTGCTCACGCTCAGAAACAACACATAAAACACAATTTTTAAAAAAAGTCGGGAACAAATGCTTAAATGTCTTCACACTAAGCAAAACGCACACGATTGCACCGTAGAGTATAATACGTATCGCATCGGACATTATGTACACCGCATAAAATGTATAATAATCCAAATTCCGACCGAGGCCCATTTAAGTAAGAATGTTTGTGGGAAAGATCAATGTGCGCGATGTCCACTCGTATGTGCATACAAACGCTCCCCTTGCACTGCAATGAAACGGCGTCGACAACGAACAGTTCCCGGTGCTCCAGCCGCGGCCTACTGCTCCGGCAATGCGCGGCAGTGTGGGGAATGTCCTCAACAGGCAACGGAAACGCCTGACACGTACTACGAGAGAAACCGGCGTCCGACGTGCTGCGCTCTCGCTCACTGGAGACGGCCCTCAACCCGGCACACAGATGTTTCCCCAGGACCGGCATCACACATGAGCACTGCGGGCGCACACGCAGAGATTCGCATGTGTGCGCAGAAAGAGGCGTCCCTGTCGTCGCTTATCGGAGTCAGGGCCAGCTCCCGAGCGAGCCTTATCGGGCCCACACTCGAGTCCGTATCGCGACGCACTGCCAGATAGAAGGCTGTCTCGAGCATCGTCCGCACGACCGACGAGCCATGGAGCGGGCCCGGGCGTCTCCCGAACCGTCGCGGATACCCGTGTTTCGAAGCGGGCAGGACAGCGGACCGTGGCAGCTGCTCGAGTCCAAGCTAAAGCGACTCGACGAGCAGCAGCCGGCAAAGCCGGACCCGTACGCGCGGCTGCTGGCCGGCATCTGCAAGGACAGCGTGCTCCTCCTCAAGCAGCTACAGACCAGCGCCGACAGCCTGCGGACCGAGAGCGCCGGGCTCAAGCAGCAGCTCAGGAAGGCGCAGCAGCGGATCGACGAGCTCGGCGCAGCGGACACTCAACTGCGGGAGCTGCGCGCCGACTTGGCGCGGCTCGACGCCAGGAGCGACGCATCTTTCGAGGAGCTACGCGGCCAACTGCGCGCCCTGGGAGACAAGCAGAGCGAGCAGGCCCGCATGTTGGACCGGATTCCCGACGCCCAAGAGCTGAGCCGGCAAGTCCGCCAGGACGTGGCTGCTGACCGAGACTCGGCGCTTTCCCGACTCGAAGCGGAGCTGGAGAAGACGTCTAGCGAGACCGGGAAGCAGGCGGAGGAGCTGCGGACGGAGCTGCGCGTGCTGGCGGACCGGCTGGTCCCTCTGGAGTCCCTGCACCAGGTGGCCGAGGTCCGGCAGCAACTTCTGGACGAGGCCGAGCTGGCAGGCGCGCAGCGAAGCTTTCAAGAGCTGCAGCTGCTCCGCGGCGTGCGGGAGGCCCCCTTCCGATGGCAGCTGGCAGGCTATCAGAGACTCCGCGAGCAGGCGCGTCGTGAGGGCCAACTACGCTTGTACAGTCGGCCGTTCGGCATCGAGCGGGAGGGAGCCGTCCGCTGTGTGCTCCGGCTGGCAGCGAGCGTCGGGGTACCGGCGGGCCAAGAGGGGGGCGACGCCGTTCAGATCGGGCTCGAGCTGCTCCACTCGGCCAAGCTGAGCAAGAAGTTCGACTTCTGCCTGCGGCTGCTGGACCGCTCCGGTCAGGACAGGCACCTGGTGAAGACCTTCTCGTCGTCCGAGCTGATCGTGCCTCGCTACTGGTTCTCTCGGCCGGCATCGGGGCTGGTCAGCTTCGCGCTGCTCGTCTCCGAACAGAGGTTGCTCAGGGAGGGACTGCTCTTCAAGGACACGCTTTCCGTCGAGGTGGGCATTTTGTGAAGAACAATAAACGAATGAATACCTTCCTTTCTGAGACTCAACCGCGCCCCTCCAATGCGTCCCGCGTGCCGGAGCGTTTCTGCTGTGGCGCGCGCTGCACGTGGCCCCTTCAATCGAACACGTCCTCCAAAGTAAGTTGGTCGAGCGTTCCAAATAGCGTGCGATGGAGCCCGAAGATTGTGGAGGGGGTCGCGCAAGGGGGCGATCTCGAGGTCGTCGGAAGTTGCTGGCCGGCTCCCTGGGCGACCACGAGTCGCAGCGGAGGCCTGGCGGCCTCGCCCAGCAAATGCGGCAGCTGTCGTTGGAGCCTTCGGGACCATTCGAGTCGGGCGACTCAAGCCCCGAGACCGACGTCACCGGGTGCGGCCGAGGCGCTCGCCGGAAGCCTCGCAACGAGGTGTCGATGCTGGCGACCCGACCGATCCACGTAACCGACAAGACCGGCACCACGGGCCGTCCAATCAGGTTGGTGGCCAACTACTTCCGGCTGCTGTCGTTGCCTCAGTGCTGCGTGCACCAGTACCACGTAGACTTTGTCCCGAGCGTCGAGTCGAGCAGAATGCGGCGTGCCTTAGTAGGCGACCACCGCGAACAGTTCGGCCGTTGCTACGTGTTCGATGGGATGTCTGACCTGAAGACGCCGAGCCGGCTAGAGCAGGAGGTGACGGAGCTGTGGTCACGGAGGCGTAGCGACGGAGAACAGGTATGCATTCGCGTTAAAAGGGTCCAGGAGCTGGCGCCAAACAACCCGGACCTGCTGCGACTCTTCAACACGCAGATGCGCCGAAACCTGGAGCACCTAGACTTTGTGCAAATCAATCGGCACTACTTTGACAAGCGGGCTGTGTCTGCCATTCCCCAGCATGGACTCGAACTTTGGCAGGGCCTTGTGACGGCCATTGGGCAGCATGAGACCGGAGTTATGATGGTAACAGACACGGTCCACAAGGTGCTGCGCCGTGACACTGTCCTCGACTTGCTCATACAGATCTCGGCGACAGCGCCCACGGGCTACCGCGAGGAAGCCATCCGCCGCGTGGCCGGGGCTATCGTCATGACGCCGTACAACAACAAGACGTACCGCGTGGACGACATCGACTGGGACCAGAACCCACAATGCAGCTTCGACACCAAGGAGGGACCCAAGACGTACGTGCAGTACTACCGCGCCCAGTACGAGAAGCGCATTCGAGACCCGAACCAGCCGCTGCTCGTGTGCCGACCGCGCGAGAAAGACTTGCGGGTCGGACGTACGCACAACATCTACCTGGTGCCTGAGCTCTGCGTGCTCACGGGACTCACGGACGAAATGCGCGCCAACGTGGCCGTCATGCGGGACTTGGCCCAGCACACCCGCGTCGAGCCGCCACGTCGCGTCCGCAACTTGCTCGACTTCATCGGGCGCGTCAACGGCGACTCCAGCGTGAGCCACGAGATGCACCAGTGGGGGCTGCAGTTCGACGGCCAGCTGGTGAGCATCGACGCCCGCGTCATGCCGCCCGAGTGGGTCATCCAGGGCACCCAGAACTACCGGTACGGCGCCAACACGGCCGACTTCTCGCGCGAGATGCGCGACAAGCGAATGCACGTGGCCATCACGCTCGACTCCTGGATTGTCATCTGCCCTAAGAGGGACGAGCAGAATTGCGCAGAGTTTGTGCGCAGCCTAATGAGTGTCTGCCCTCCCATGGGTCTGCGGGTCACCGAGCCGCGTCTGCTCGAGCTGGAAGACGACCGGGCCGGCAGCTACGTCCGCGCGCTTCAGCAGCTCAGCGGCCTGCAGCTGGCTCTTGTGATCCTGCCCAACAACCGGAAAGACCGCTATGACATGATCAAGAAGCACGCCTGCGTCGACCTGGGCCTGCAGACGCAGGTGCTGCTCAGCCGGACCATCGGGAACCGAAAGAACGTGCGCTCGGTGGCCACCAAGGTGGCGATCCAGCTCAACTGTAAGCTGGGCGGACAGGCCTGGTGCCTTGAGATCCCGCTGGCGTCCACCATGGTCATCGGCTACGACACGTACCACGACTCAAGTCAGCGCGGCCGCTCGGCGGGGGCCTTTGTGGCCAGCCTGAACAGGACCTTCACGCGCTGGTTCTCCCGGGCGTCCTTCCACGCCAGCCACCAGGAGCTGGGCAACTCGCTGGCCATTCATCTCCAGGACGCTCTCAGGCAGTACGGCTGCGAGAACGGCGGCGCCGTGCCCGAGCGCATCCTCTTCTTCCGCGACGGTGTCTCGGACGGCCAGATTCCCCAGGTCCGCGAGTGGGAGATCAACCAGATCGTGGCGTCGCTGGACGCGCTCTTCCCGGGCAAGGATCACAAGCTGGCGTTCGTGGTGGTCACCAAGCGCATCTCGACGCGCCTGTTTGCCGTGACCAGCTCGGGCGGCTACGCCAACCCCCCGCCGGGCACCGTGGTCGACTCGGAGGTGACACGGCCCGAGCGCTACGACTTCTTCCTGGTGTCGCAAAGCGTGCGCCAGGGAACCGTGGCGCCCACGCACTACAACGTCATCTACGACACCACGGGCCTGAAGCCCGACCACATGCAGCGGCTCTCGTACAAGCTGACGCACCTGTACTTCAACTGGCCGGGCACCATTCGGGTGCCCGCGCCCTGCCAGTACGCACACAAGCTGGCCTTCCTCGCAGGCCAGTCGTTGCACACGGAGCACCACGTCCAGCTAGCCAACACCCTCTTCTACCTGTGAAATAAAAGCCCTTTGTCTCAGCCAGACTTGTACGTAATCCGTTACAAGTAACGAGATTACTTGTAATCCCTCACATTTATCAGTAATTTAGTAACGGAATAATTACATATTTTCTAGAGTAATCGTAAAGTAATTCCCTTACATTTCTTGCGTAACAGATTCCTTGCAATCCGTTATTTCCCCCCTCCTTTCTAAAAAAAGGGTCGTTTTTATTTTGGTGAAGTGGAGCGGGGTGACACTGTCACGCGAAATGACCAGCGCAAAGGGAGGCTTGGCCTTCAGTTCCGCAAAGCCTTTTTTTTTTTTTTTCAACACCAAGACCCTGAATCTATTTTTTTTAGAAATGTAGAAATGCCAGTTTTTAGAAAAAACTGGCATTTCTACAACAAAAAAAAAAGGGGGGGGGGGCAAGTTATATTTGCTTTTTTTAGTTCCTTTGTTGTTGCTTTTTTTGCGATCGAAGACGGGGAGAGGAGGGCGCCAAGTGATTGTGTGTTTCTTCGAGAAGCTCGAGGCGGTAAGTGAACAGACAAGAATTAACAATGTCCTTCTCGGTTATAGTGACTACGGCCATTTTTATATTGTCACAAAACGAGACAACGCTCCGTCTACCCTAAAATCCACTAAAGGAGATGTGATAATATGTAACGGTGTTATTGCCACAATCATCCTCGTTCGTTGCTGCACATTTAGCAACTTCTCTTAGAAAGCAGAATGTATTTTTTTCTGCTTCTTTTACCTTATTTGACCCTGTTTTAAAAGCTACTTACTTTTTTGTAGTCCAACTTCTAGGGTTGCTCCACTTTATTTGGGAATTCCAGCCAGGTTATCTGCCTCTCAGTCACCCCTTTTGTGAGTCAGCTTGTTGCGAGCCCTTCGAGAATGGTAAGTCTTCCTTCCTTCTTCCTGTTTCTACCCCAGCAGGACGGATCTTATCTCTAGCAGATATTTTTAAAAATAAAACCCGATGGTTGCTGACGTACACGTGATATTCTGGGCTTGAGGAGAGAGTGAAACTCGTGAGTGGGGCAATAGCGCGGCTTACTTAGTACTCTGCCCTTCGCTGCCCGTGACATCAGCGGACGTCTATCTGGAGAACCCCGGAGTAAACTGCAGTCGGTACGTGGTCCGTGCGTTTTTGAATGGCCCCAAGAAAGGTATACACGACAAACGTGCATTTACATTTCCTTGTTTTAACCGACGTTCTAATTAATTGTTGTTAAAACTGTCTTTTTTCGATTACTTATATTCATATACTAGAAACTTTTTTTTTATTCACCAATGTCTCAACCGCGGCTCGACCTGTTCAGAACCAAAGGAAGAAGAATATCGAGCCAAATCTTATTTTGTTATTTAATTATCACCTTACTGTTACAACAATGTTTTGCGATTGTCTGGCAATATATGACGGTATTGTAAGATGTTCATACATCAGTTCTTATTCTAGTTTTGGCTCGATCTATGATGACTTCTACAGCTTCGTGATTTTGACAATGGAGAATTTCAGTAGATCGGTCCGATGACTCCGATAGCGGTTCCCGATACTTCGCCACCGCCTTTGCGCATGCGTTATATCGTTATCGGGTGTCGTTATCTGGAGTATTAAAGGTATCAGAACGATCAACTAAATCTCTCGAATATCAGGCAACGGCTGCAACGAGGAAGCTTGGCTCTATCTTCGAGGTAAATAGTACTTCCATTGCTTCGCTGAAGAGGCTCAATGCTAAGCATAAAACATTCGTGAGGCACACTATGGCACTCCCATCCAGTGCCTCAGTTCAAAGGATGTTCAGCGTAGCAGTCGACATCTTCAGTAAGGAATAACGCAAAATGCTTCACGAGATTTTCGAGAGCCAGCTGTTGCTCAAAATACTCAAGGTCAATAAATGGAAAAGGTGGCGACATTAACAACTTGAATAGTCTTCTCCTGTTTGTTTCTTACTTGAGGACAATAATGTTGGAAGTAACGCCACAAAAGTAAAGGATTACTTTTTGTGGTAACGGTCGCTTACTTTTTTAGGAGAGTAATCGTAACTGTAATAAATTACAATTTAGCCTCGAGTAATTGTAAATGTAATATCTTACTATTTTTCAGTAACGTGTGCAAGTCTGGTCTCAGCGTCTGAAATCTGGAAGGTTCCTCTGCTTACTTCTCATAAGCTAGAACACGAATTATGAAGTAAGGGTAGGCAGCACCGTTTTCTTGCGTGACGAAAGCTTACGTCTGCTTACGACGAGATCAAGGCCGAGTTCCCATGGCGACCAACCGGCACAAAGCTCGTCGTAACGTCAATGGGCATTCCCACCAGGGACGCTTTTCTGAAAGGGATGTGGGTGACTTTAGAGATCGGCGGAACCAGTGGAACCCCGATCTCAGCATTCATACGAAGGGGGCCGAGAGGGACGTTAGTGTTAGCAAACGCATTTAGCAATCGCACACTCGACAATAGGGACGCGCTGATGAGAGCAGAAAAATGGAGACGTACACTAGAAGGCGATACGCTATTATGGCATCAGCGATGTAGACCGTGACGAGCTGCTTCCTGCAAAAAGAAAGATCCTTCTTCAGTGGGTGGATGCCACGCAAAGGACGCGGAATAAAAAAACCGGTTGTACGAGGAGCGGCTTGAGAGATCGAAGAATCCTCCGGGTGTCTCGTTCAACATGTGCAACAGCGCAAGCCACACCAGGTTAGGCGATACCCCCGCCGGCATCTCGCCAATTTCGCTGAGCAAAACCTGTAAAGCTGCCAGACACGCGAATAAAATACCGCCAATTGCAAAGAGATCCCACGCAGAGGAGGGGAGCGTTTGTGCAGCCCGAGCCAAGGCTGGCCCATCCGATCTGACGTCAGCGCGGCTCCGCACAAAAGCGTGACGTAACCTCGTTATGCGCTTCGCGGGGAGCGACGGGAGGGATTTCTGCCCCGTAGGAAAATTCAGGAGTTTGGTTCGGCTCAACTTTTTCTTATGAACTCTGACGAAAGTTTACGTGGGACCAACGGGAGGCGAGGGAGCGCAGCATTCGCTCATGCGTTCAGGGCTCCGAGACCAGCTCTACAAAATGGCGACGGCGAGCGAGGTGGCGAAGACTCTTCGACGCCGACAATGGAAACACTATCTTTTTATGTCTCGAACTGGGTAGTGAAACCCGCGTTTATCGTGAACGGAGAAGAAATTGTTCTCGACAGGACGCCGTCGCCGAGCGAGTTTTGACGGCGAGCGTCCACAGTTGTTTTGCAACGTGCACTCTGCACCGTCAAGATTGCCGGTCTTAGCAGCCTCAAATATGGCGTCCTATGAATACTCTCCACAGGCGCCCAAGCAACGTTACTACCCGATTAGGCCAATTAGGCGACGTAGTTTTCAACTCGCTGCCCGACGAGTTCTTGTAGTACATTGGAGCAATCGTACGATGTACTCGATACTAGCACCGCTATACTGCCGTGGAAACCTCCCGTGATGGCGCGCTGCTTCGACGCACACAGCGTCGGAGTCGTCGTGCATCTGCATTTTCAAGAATAATTGCACGCAATTTGGCTAGAAAACATTTCATTACGCATTCAAATGGAAATTCCACTTTCATTAATTCGGCGGTGATTCCGTCATGAAAATTCCCGCCGATCCATGTTCCCAGCAGCAACGGTTCCAGGGGAAAAACCACGCTAAAAATGGCTCATCATCATCATCGCGTGCTACGCGACAAACTAAGGCGTACTTACAAGACTCATGTTTTACCTTTGATTGATATCCACTTTCGGGAAGTATACCCAACACGAGGAAATGCGAACACAAACATTTCATGTATACTAATATATTTTTCCAGTCTCTACACTAAAATATACCATTTTAATCAGACAAATGTGTCAGAAACAACGTAAACATACACACACTAAGTAATGAAGATCTCCGTGGACACTTTTTAAATGTAAAATAGAGTTAGCTTCATTGAAGGGAAGCTACGGAGCTTCTTGGAAAAAATTACTTAGAAGTGAATTCTAGTGTATTTTTACCCCGTGAACCCGAATACCCAAACCATTTGCTGCGTAAGTATTGTTAAACGCGAGAAAAACGCGAAAGACAGTCGCTGTCCGTGACGTCATCGACGGCTCTTTTGGCTGCCCAAGGCTAGGGAGGCGGGGCTTCAGTCCTATTTTGAAATTGCTTGTATGGCTCTCCGGCGCGTCGCATTGAAATAAAATTTTGATATCTGTTAATCTAAAGGCCAAATGAACGCAATTTAAGCGTTTTTTCTCCAATGTAGAAGTGCCCCATCTTCCCTTTAAAAGTTTTTGCAGAGTTCGGTTTTTGTGGTTTTTTTTTCTTTTTCTGTCAAGGCCATGTATTTGGTCATGTTTTTTTTGTTTTTTTTTTTTTTGTTTTTTTCTTTATACGTTGCTGCTGTCAATGTAATCCAGGCCTAGCCAAGCTGTTTGTAACTGCTTTTTGTCTGGATTTCCCTCCAGGCATATCTGAAAAATAAAGCTTGATTGAGTGATTGTGCTGAATAGGTATTTCAGTGTTATGGAGTTAAGGGATGATGGGGCACTTCTACATTTGAGAAAAAACGCTTGAATTGCGTTCATTTGGCCTTTAGAATAGCAGATATCAAAATTATATTTCAATGCGACGCGCCGGAGAGCCATACGAGCAATTTCAAAATAGGACTTAAGCCCCGCCTCCCTAGCCTTGGGCAGCCAAAAGATCCGTCGATGACGTCACGGACAGCGACTGTCTTCCGCGTTTTTCTCGCGTTTAACAATACTTACGCAGCAAATGGTTTGGGTATTCGGGTTCACGGGGTAAAAATACACTAGATTCACTTCTAACTCATTTTCTCCAAGAAGCTCCGTAGCTTCCCTTTAAGTACACTGTACTTAAAGTACTACCTTAAGTAGGCCAAGTAAACTTGTACTTAAAGTACTACTGCAAGTAGGCCTAGTAAACTTGTACTTAAAGTACTACTATAAGTAGGCCTAGTAAACTTGTACTTGACTTCAAGTACATTCTCTGAGGGCGTA